TATACCGTGAGTTTACGGTATTTCTAATACATTTCACTTACAAGTTGTGTGTGTCTAGGGCCTTTTTATATTGGTTTTTTATGTGTTTTTATCATGTTTTGCAGGAAAGATGTTCAGGGGCGGAAGTATAGAGACAACTGAAAGAAATGCAGAAACAGGGCATTCACGGAGGTGATCTACGGACCGTAGGTCCATCCACGGTCCGTAAGTGATGACCGTAGATCAACAGGCATGGTATTAAGGACGAATCAAGGAAATCTGATCGAGTGTGGAACCACGGGGTCCATTGACGGTTCGTAGATTGATCTACGGACCGTACTGTTGATCCGTAGAATGATACTGCGAGGCTTCCAGTACCCGATTTTTGAAGATTCTAAGTATGGAGCTACGGAGGGGATTGACGGACCGTAGATCGATCTACGGTCCGTACTGCTAGTCCGTCGTTTGCTTCAGAGAAGCTGATTTTTGGAAGCGGAAATATTTTCTAAGTCCTGGCTTACGGAAGGGACTTACGGACCGTAGATCCATTGACGGTCCGTAACTCAGTCTCGTGGATTGAAGACGCGTACCTGAACAAACTTTCCTTAATTTGTTTCCCTTTTTACTTAGGATTTGTTTTCTATAAATAGGGCATGTAAGCCTCGTTTTTGGGGGTTAGACATTATTATTCTATTTTTACTTTGTGACTTTGGAGATTAAGTTGCAACCCTAGCAATTATTGATTTCCTACATTCGTGTTGAAGATTTTGGCTTTGCAATTCAAGTTGAAATTCTGGGTTTATTATTCTCGTTACGTAAGTTCATGATTTATTCATCTAATATTATGAATTGTGTTCTTGCTAATATGGGTAACTAAATCCACAACTAGGGTAGTGGGAACCATGAGCGATTAACAAAGTATGAATAGTAAATAAGTAATTCTTGAATAGTGTTTTGTATGCATTAATAATTCTTTCGTTTAAAAGTCTTTTTAACGAGTGCACGCGTTAGAACTCACCTTGTTGCTACTTGCCGGATCAAGGAGGTAATCAACAAGAAAAGAATTATCAACATAGATTTAGTGTGATACTATCTAATAGGCTAGTATCGATTGGTGCGAAGTAGTAACTAAGCCAAACATCGATTATGATGTCTAATATGAGGTAAAGGTAAGGGTTAGTAAATTATACACACGCAGCCGGATCAAGGTGCGGGGTCAAATTCTCTAGATGCCGGATCAAGGTGCGGGGTCAAATTCTCTAGATGCCGGATCAAGGATTTAGAGATACCTAACTTATCACTTTACATGTAACACACTGGGAAAGGATTGCGATTACTAGGATTACTACGTTATGAGCTTGTGGGGAACACGTCTACCCTAGTTAATTTTCTCATCTTGATAACAATCGAAATTGACTTTTGTTTATTGATTACTGACTGAATTCTTATAATTTGTTTCACAAATCCCCCCTTTTTTTATTTCTTGTTTCTGGAAGTGTTTTGGCTAATTGAATATAATTGTTGGTTAAAGTAAAGTCTAAACCATCTTCCTCGTGGGATCGATCCCAACCTACAAGTTGGGTTCTTTACTTGATAACGATCACTTATACTTCTTTAGGGAGGTGTAATTAGAGCGTATCAGCATACCGGAACGTGGTACCCGATCCAATGTTTATGCTGGAATGTGGCAACCGATCCCATAATTATGCCGGAACGTGGAAACCGATCCAAGTTAGTGTGTCGGAATGCAACACCCTATTCATTCAACAAGACACAATCACAATCACAAAGCACATTCTCATAATCATACAATCAAGTCATGATTCATGGCATTCATCATTCATATATCCCCATTTACAATTAATTGATCAATAATGAAACATTCACATACATACATGTATCATAATGAAGCAAGAACAAACATACATCACACAATCATAGAATCACAACCATCACCTACCTCGAAACAAGCTTGAAACCCTAAGAAACTTGATTCTTCCCTTTCCGGATTCGTTTCGCTTGGTCTTGGTCTACAAATAATTAATATAACACGAGAATCAATAAACAATAACTAATTACCTGAATTACCAAAAATCCTATCAACCCTAGATCAAACCCATGATCCCATATTCCAAATTAGGGCTTTTTCCGCCACTGTTTCCAAGTCAAAATCCTTTCCCATCGATAATTACCCATTAGATTACGTACTACGGATCGAAAAATGGATTTGAGGAGTTAAAATCTTACCTTTAGCCTCAAGAATGGTGGAAAACTGTCAAGAAAAGACCTGGGTTCGTTCCTTAGCTCTCAAGTTTGAAAATTGCAGAATAAAATATTTTTGGTGTTTATTTACGACTTTAAGTCGCGTCTGGCCCGCCACAGCGGTCCTCACCCCGCTACAGGGGCCCTGCCCTGGCGGCAAAAATCTCTGCCAAAGCGGCTTTGCACGAAACAGTGAGCTATTTTAATAATTCCAATACCCCCATTTCACAACACGCCTTCAACCAACGACACTCAAAAACTATCCATTCACGGTAAGATCAATTTCGGGAGTTCTACTCACCCGAATTCAATTCCGTAAAGTCGTACGGGTTCCTTAACGTCTTAGCTATCTACTCATGTGATCAAATTCATAATTAGATCACCCAATTACTACCAGATTTTCCTAGATCTCACAGACTTCGATTTCCTCCAAATCTGGACTAGGTTGGGAAATCTCAAGTTACTATGAAAAAGTTTTCTGACCCAAAATTTTTCCCTGTTAGCTTTTCTATAACGACGGAACCCAGTCGTTACTCTCTCCCTTTTCAAGAACTTTTTTCAATTTTGCATCACGGGAGTATGCTGAGCAATTCAGCACCGTAATTCTCTTAAGCCAAAACAAACAGGCTTATCATTCATACAAAACCAAATTTCATGTATTTTTTTGTCACTTTTTACACGTCGCAACAACATATAGTGGACCATCTGTCCATTGAACTTGAAATGTTCTGAAATATGCCTCAAGTGCCCAAAACAAGTGCCTTTAAAATCATCATAATTTTTTTCTTGAACTAGAAGATTTATCAAATCACAATAAACAACCATCCTTGCTCTAACAAATATTTTTGCTGTAAACGATCCTATTTCATCTATCTATGTCTTTAAATCATACGACTTACCAGGAATGTCTTCTGCACAAATTGGAAAAGACAGGGGATCTTCATCCTCATCACCAGTTTGGGTATCTCTACTACTCTCATCTTCACTGTCACTTTTATCATTACTAGATTCAACATCATCACTAGACTGGGCACTACTGTCCTGGTAGTTGTCAATCTCGACCATTGTATCAGAATCAAAGTTCGACTCATGTTCTTTCACAATATTTTTTTTCTTTTTTGAAGCTTTGGAAACTTCTTCAACCTTCCTTTTCTTATTTTTAGAAGCATAAGGATCATATCGTTTAATGATGCCGCCTCTAGTTTTAGCCATATTGTACTATATACAAGCAAAAATAAATTTGTCATTTCAAAATATCGACCACTAGTCTATTAGCACAATCAAACCTTACATTAAAAACACATGCAAAAGAAGTAGGAGTTCAAACAGAAATCGATAGTAAAATCGCAAGCATAAAACTTTAAAATCGATTAAATCGATCAAAATACCATAAATTTTTTCAAATCGCTAACATATAAACTTTTATAAAATTTCTATGCATTATCCAAATCAAAACGTCATTAACGATGCCAAATAAGAAACATAAACTAAAAAGGGTCAGATTTTCAAAAGTTTAAGCAAATATCTAAACTTCACTACACTACCGCAATTAAAAAATAAATCAAATAGGGGTAAAAGTTACTGGAAATACAATGATGAAACTTACCTGAGAGGAAGAAGATTGAACACGATTCAACTGAACTTGGGGAAGAATATTGAACAAAATAGACCCGATTCACTTCGTTTGAAATCTTCCGGAACTATTATGGGATCGTACGTTTGTTTATGGTTTCAAGAATAGAAGATTGGAAAGGTTGGTTCTTGGAGAAAGATGTTTTATGGAGGTTTACGAAATCGATAAAGCTGATATATGGAAGATCAAAAGCCACATTGGAGAGCAAAGTTCTGAGGTTTCATCGGAAAAAGGATTTTCTGATAACCCAATATATTAATTTTTTTAATATTGGGATTGTACTTTATTTTTGGAGGGATTAAATTTATTTAATATTTGAAGTGTTGGGAAGAAAATGATTTTTCAAAACTTGTATTTTATCCCCCAAGTTTTTAAAGTGTTAAAAAGGCCCCTGACCCCACAAGCCTACCCCACTTTTTGACTTTTTCTTAAAGTAAACCTACAAAATAAATCAAAAAGAAATGGGGTGGCTATGGACTAAATTAAGTTATATTGGTGGGCACAACACCAAGTCTTCTCCAGTAACTTCCATTTTTCAGAATTTAGAATCGGTAAACTCAAAGTTCTAGTTCCTTTGGACTTGGTATGTTTTTAGATCAAAGAAGTCCATTTAGTTTATGATGACAGATAATATCCCTATGTCCCTATCCTCATTCAACAATCTTCTGTATAATCAATTGGAGCCGAATACATATATAGACATAAACGATCAAAGGCACAATGGATGGTTGAATTTGTAGTATAAACATGTCAACTAAAGGTTTGAATGTGTGTATACAGATTTTCCATTTACAAATAGGTAAGCCTGGACACAAATCAGTAAATAGAAGAAAAAAAAAAGTCATGATTTTTAATGGTTTTGGGGATACTTATCAAATTCCAATTCCGCTAAGCACTTGTAGGATATTTCAGCATCAAATTTTCCGGCGATTCCATCATATTTCTGGTCAAAAAACTATGTCTTGCACCAGTGGGTGTCTACATGATTTACGAGAAAAATATAGTTGCAAGGATCAGAGTTCATAGAGTCCAAGCTCTTCATAAGTAGAGTGGTCAGGGCAAAAATGATATGAAAATGATACATTGCTTAACAAACTTTGATTTTCTTCTCAACCAACAAACATCCTCATTTCTTCAGAGTCACTTCACTGGCTAAGGGATGCAGGATGCACTTCCAGATCACTCTCATTACAAATCTACAGAAACAAACCAAATTTGATTTTTTAACAAAAGAAAGAAAAAAAAAATGGTTCTTTATGGATTTCTACTGTGATAAATAGAAATCACCACATATAAGAATGTGTTTACCTTTATAAAACCGAGATCTGCGACCATCTTGGTGCGTTTGATAATCCTGGTTTGGATCACTCCTCTGATGTATCAATGGTCCTGAGAACACAACCCTTCTTTGTCGGCCATTATAGTCCTGTCATTTAGAAAGATACTCACATATTCAGTCATATTCTCCGTTGCACCTTTGCAATTACTTATAAGTTGCATGTATTACATGGCTTCAGATAAAAAATAAAACTTCAGATTGTAGACATGATATTTAAGTTATTTTAGCTAACAGGCAAGGTCCATTGTTGCTGTAACTTTCCAGTTTATAAAGGTCGAAATGGGAGAAGTTCATAGACTGACCACTTCTGGTGCTGATAAAGACTTCCCCTTTGAAATGCAGTTAGCTATCTTTTATTGGGTTTTTTAGTTCTAAGAAAAAAAAAACACAAAATATCATGTAGGTTGTAGCATTATTGCATATATTAAAAATACAGTACACTTATAACATTTACTACCGCTTTATGTGTCAGGTGTGTGTTTATCATAGGCATTGCACTCATTTTTCACAGACGGCAGAGATTTGCAAAGCACAACAATGATAACATCTCCATGCAAAGAAAATGAAGTTCGAGCTTAAATCAAACTCAGCTAGTTCATGAGGAGATGATAGTCTTAGACTATATAAAGAGATGACATCCCATTTTCTCAACAAATTTTGGACACTTAATACTTCCTTGCTCTCCTAGTATTGGATATTTGAAGCATGGACAACGTAGGATGAGGGCCTAACATTGGGTAAATCACGGATAGGGATGGGAACAGAAAATAGACCTTGCAGCTAACTCAACTCCAAAAACTTGATCATGAGGTGAGGACTGTCGCAAACTATATAATGACCCATTCCATTAACCGATATGGGACACTACATCCAATTCAGGCTGTAAATCTGTGAATCACGCACTAAATCAGTTGTAGTTTGACTGATGGTATCTAGTTATCAACTACTCAGATAATTGTAGTAATTCTAGAACTAGTCCTTGGTTTTGAGTTCAGCTCAAGTCTATTTCTTAAAATGGTATTAGGGTAAATAGAAATCCTGGGGGTTCAAGTCTCAGTGACACTCCAGCACTGAGGAGACATGTTGAAGGCACAGTTTTGTTTTCTTTTCAGTATGTTGAAGACAAAATTAAGAAAATAAAGTTTGTTCACTAACAGTTTTAACTTTTCAATGAAATGGTCACACAATTTAACACTGCACAACTGACTAATATCAAACGCTCGGAGGAGCGGTTGCAATTAGCCATAGAATAGCTTACGGGTCAATTTTATCCAATCCCACCCAATTCCTCCAAAAAACAAAAGCTTTCCTATGCTAGCATTACAGCAGAAAAGAAAAGTTTCAGTTTCTCACTATTAATTTCAAATAGGTATAGTAGATCAAGAATACGAACCTCTGATATCTCCTGAGACTGGTGTATATCAGATGATCCAAAAGAATCTCGTTGCTCATGATGAGTGTATTGCCTGCTAATAGAATGCTTTGCATCATTATTGCAGCCTCTGGCTTCATTGTTGATCCTGCTCGAAAAGTCATTATTACCTGGCATGTTTAAATCCAAGGTATCGGCTGAGTGTAGTACACTAGATGTGTCAAAGGCAATCAACTTTTGACTTTTTGAGTTGGCCTGTGGATGGGGCCTTGAGGCTGCAGAATCTTGCGTTCTCATTTTGGCCCATGCAGTGCCACTTGAAGCTGTTTGCGCAGGGAGAGATCGGATGCTTTCTCCTTGAGATTCTTCGGTCGTCTGAGAAGCCTCTGACACTGTATCATAAGATGGTTTCATTGATATGCGTGCCACAGTAGCTCCTTTTCCTTTAGAAATATGGCCACTACCACCAATGTTTCGACGAGCATTATGGATATTAGCTTCAGCATCCTTCATAAGGAATAAAAGGAAATTTGTCAATGTACCGTCAAAAAGGAATGTAAGTATGTGTATATGTATGACTGGAAAAAGACCTCTGTTGAGACTATGCCAAAGTTTCTCGATTCTTGAAGCGACTTTTGCACCTTTCTTGAATTTCTTGAAGCTCCAGATGCTCTCACTGTGGAACTGGCCCTCTTTCTGACAATGTAAGTGAGGGGAAAAGTTCAAAATCAAAGGAGATTAGTTTCTTAAAACTAAGCAGTTCGAGATGGATGAAATGTTTGGTGTGAACTACGTATGTTTCAGCTATAATGTTGAACTAGTACTCATACTAGTGAAGGAACAGCGACAAACCATCTTTCTTTTTATGTCTACACCTACAGATTAAATTCGTTGGCTTTTACTATCTTTGAGCTCCTTCCAGATGACCTGCACTCAATTTAAGCAACTATATGCGAAATTTGTTTTCTATGAAGGACAAAGAAGAAAGGGAATTCACCTCCTTGCTTCTTCTCGGAACTTTGCATCAATTTCCTTGTTCGGTGGATACTTAGGCAAACTTGACGGCGTACATGCGTAAGGCTTTGTATTGAAATACTGAAGAAGGTACATGACAAATGTTGAACCATAATATTAGCATGCTGAAAGAATTGTCTTAAATGTTGTCAAAACTGAGAGTTGAATTTTGAAACACAGAACAAAAAACTGAGATAACTTTACAATGAGTAAAAGATTCATGAACTGCTTTCCCCATGCCTTACCACAGAATCAAGAGCAGATGAAGCAGCTCCACGTTTATGAGGATCAATTGAAAGAAGCGTTTCTATAAGGTTGACAGCAGTTTTTGGTAATTCTTTACATCTATCTCGAAGCACACTCTCATAAGGATGTTGAGGTTTAAAAATAGTTGCTAGTGGAAGTCTAGATTTTTTCCAGTAATCCTCAGATGGAGAACCACATAGTTTGAAGATTTTATGCAATTGTTCAACCTGCAGAGTAGAGAAAAAGAAACTTTTTCACAGTTGACTAAAATCAGTAGCATTACATGGTAGTAGAGGAGTAACATCTAATCAAGCTATTATTTTCAAGAGTTCATTCATAGATCTTATAGTTGTGTAGATTTTCGTTTCCCATTTGCAAGTTATTATGATAATTATGTACAAAATGTTATCCGATCGAAAATGAAGTCCAAAAAACCGCTGACCTCAGTCCTCCCTTTTAAGAAAGGCCTCCCAAAGAACAGTTCTGCAAAAACACAACCAGCACTCCACAAATCCACCGTTAGCCCATAACTTGTTGATCCCAAGAGAAGTTCAGGAGGTCGATACCATAAAGTCACCACACGGCTTGTTAGTGGTTGTTTGTGCCTAGCACTAAGGAAATTTGCTAGACCAAAATCTGCTATTTTTAAAATTCCTTTATTGTTTACCAAAACATTGGAAGCTTTAATATCCCGATGCATTATACCTCGGGAATGACAATGCTCTAGTCCACTCAACAGCTGCTGCATATAGTATTTAATCTAATTCCATCCAAAAAAAAGAAGAGAAGAATAGAAAATGAGATGTTCATATTTTCCTAAATTTGCGAGTAAAGTGATTCAAAAAGTGATCCTTACACAACATCCAAGGGTAGAGAGACATTGTCTAATGCTAACAAACCTGTGAATCGGTGAACTTGACATCAGGACATGACAACAGTCCAGAGAGGTCATGTTCCATGTATTCAAAAACAAGGTATATGCAGCATGATAACCGAGAAGTAACTATTCCCAACAGCTTCATGACATTTGGATGGTCAAGTTTGCGTAGAACTGTTATTTCTCGAGCCATAAATCTGACACTTTCTGGCTGGAAATTGTCAAATTTCACCTTCTTCAGGGCAACCATTTTACCAGTTTCGACATCACGTGCACAATAAACACTGCTGTATGTCCCTTGTCCAATCTACAGATGTAGAAGGCAGAAAAATATTTGTAAGAAGAAATTCCCTTTGCATTCATAAGACGGTAATATTCTACTGAAATAGTCAGTCCAAACGTCCGTGTACCATTGCATATGAAATTAGGCAGTCAAGGCCTAAATATGTTATCAAAATTTTCAAATCCCTGTGGCATGTGCAGTAAACCAAGAGTCTAAAGTCAGTCTAACATTGTTCATGGTTTCCTATAAGTTCATTATAACTAGCTTGAAGAGTTAAATCTGTCACACATCGTCTTTGTTACTCTTGCTTGCAGTAAATTATTATATTAGGGTACCCCACGGTTTCCTTCAAGTTATGATTGTACTCATGTTTCAATGAACGGGGAGCTCATAATTGGCATGAGGGGAAAAATTAAGTATCCTCAAACTCTACTTAAAGCATAAACATCTCTAGGTAGGATATATGAACCTATCAATATAAATGGTATGATGAAAATTCATCCAAAAGTTATTGTTACCGCATCCGATGCTAAGAATCATTCAGAGCTAGTATTTACAAATTAACTTAAATTTCAAAGGTTCATGGTGCTTCTTCTTTCGAAATGAGATGGTCAAGAGCCCCTTCAGAATTTCAGGACATTAAGAAAATAATAAAATAAGCAGCCATAAGAATATGGAGCAAAAATCAATAAGACCAACAAAAAACAATTGTCATCGGCTCATCGTATAGTAATTAGAAAGTCAATCCTATATGGCTCATCGTGTTGGTATGTAATAACATTTAACACATACACCAATTGTCAAAACATAGTATACATTTTTATGATCTGAAATCTTGTATTATAGATAATGCAAGATTCATTTTTCTTCTCTATCACAAGAAATGATGTTTTCATTACAATAACAAACATCAACAATCCCAGTCCAGTTGGGTTCGGCTATATGAATCTTCAACATCATGTTCCATATGAAACAATTAATTACAATTGTGTGTTTCCATTGAACCAATCAAATTTAAATTCTGAATCCGCGAAGGAAGGAAGATTACCTTTTCTAATTTCTGAAAGGCATCTGATTTAAGGGGCATCCATCCCTCAATAGCTTCAGAGGCAATGGCGGTTAGCCAAACAGGCCATCCTGCAGCCAAATGTTCTCCTTCATTTAGCCTTCCAAATTTGATACTAAAATTAGCCTTTTTATCCGAATTTCCCTTTTTCGAAGCCTTAGAATTGGAGGAGCTTCGTTGGATTAACGATTCGGTCTTCTTCTCCTTTTCGGGTTCCTCTTTGATCTTCTCCAGAGGTGCAAATCCAGCCTTGACATGGTGCACATTGTGTTCAGTAATATCAGCATTAATAATAACAGGAGTTGTTAGAGAAGAATTGCGTCGTGGGGGCGGAGAATGGGCTCTGGCCTGCTTGGAGCTGACACAACCCATGTCCCCCCAAAACCCATTAAAGGAATAAAAAATCTTTGATGGGAAATGGGTGAGCTAGAGAGAAAAATGAGGATCAAAATTGAAGTCCCTACATTAGCTATTTTTCTGGGGGCGATGGCCAAAGAAATAAACACATTTGGGAAGGTCAACGTTGAACTCTTTTTTCTTTTGTGAAATCCAAGAGATTAATAAGGGTTCGTGTCCACCAGTCCCAAAGCAGAGAGAAGACAATATTTTTTGTGCATTGCCGCCATACGTGACATGCAGTCGTTAAAGTTGGTTATTCCTTTTTCTTTTTTACCCTCTTTATTTATTGAGTTTAACACATTCTCCCTCTGTTTCAATTTGTTTGTCGTTTTTCGGTTTCGTCCATTTAAAAAATAATGTTACTTTCTCTTTTTTGGCAACTCTTCTAACTTATCACATGACATGGTTAACACCACAAAATTAAATGACATTGTGATGTATTTTGATAACTATTCAAAATTAAATGACATTAGAAAACTAATGAGCCTCTGGTACAATGATGGTTCTACAAGAGGGTCACCATCATAATTTTTTTATTGTGTCATGATCAGAGTCTACACTCAAGATGTGATCGGAACTTAAGATCACATTGATTCGAAGAAGATTCTTAGTACCGGCGTGTTGCTAATGATTAAACTAACATTCTACAAACTGCAAGTAAAAGCTAAGACATAATTAACTGGGTGAAATACTTAATATATAACCAAATGAAATGATTGAAAATCCATGGAAGAACTGAACAACTAATGTATGAAATAAAACCACTATTGACTAGAGTGAGAAGAAATAAATTTGTCAGAACATGACCCCCAACTACCCTCAAAGGTAAATACTATCTGAAATAAGATTGTAACTACGAAAAACTTCATGAAGTCCCCGAACAAAGAGAACTCACCAACTGCTGCCTAGAAATGTGTCATGACCCAGGGGTACCCCCTAAATGTAACTTGGCACATGGAACCCTGAAAGGCTCCAAGTAAGCCTCTTAGCATATCATCATCACACAAGTAAAGAATAATAGAGAATAGAAACACATTTTTTAAGTCCTTAAGAAAATTTTCATCAAACTAAAGTGAAAGTCTAGACATAGTCTCATTTAACCATCTACTACAATCGAGGTCTCAAAACAGGGTCACATCCCTTACAATAGAAATCCGAAATGAAATACAAAGAAATGAAGGAAACAACAAATTGTCATTTGTCCTCGGATCCATGAGGACATACCACAAGCTTTGGGGAATAGTCTAATCCCTAGCTTGAACAAGAGTGAAGGATCACCTCAAACGCCGGAACCTACACTTTATGGAAAAAGGTAGAAAATATGGGTTAGCACAAATATGTACTAAGTATGGAAGCTATGCATAAAAATCCTTAAAACATGCAAAAAGGGACAATTTAGTTGAAACCATGCTCTTTGCAACTTTAAAAATCATCATGCACAATAGTGTAAATAATAAACCAACCATACCATAAGCAACCCTAAGCCATACGTGTGCAATGCATAGACAAGATCCCATAATCCTATCTAATACTAAGTATCACTTTTAGGCCACACATTCATGCATATCATATCTTGAACTCAACCATAGTTAATACTCATAGACAAGGGAAACATTCATGTTCATAGCTTGTATCAAGTAAAGTCACTCTTAGCAACCATTCAAATCATACATGCATAACTTCATATATCTTCATAGCATAAGGAAATAACACACCATAACCCCTTTCCAAAGTCTACTTGTGCAATGCATAAGTGAAGTCCCATACCCCCACTCACACTAAGTAGAACTCCTTGAAAATAGATATACTTCAAGTTCATGTTCTTTTCATATTCATATTCTTGTCATGTAGGTAAATATAGCCTTAACCGACATAAACCATGTGGGCTACATAGAATCCGATCACCGAAAAGAGATGTCCTACTTGCCTAAGGTAGAACTACATGTATTAGCTTTTAGGTGGATCCACTAACTAAAGACCTATGTGGGCACATAGTTATGGGATAGGGAGAAGCAATTGCTTCTAGAAACCCTAACTATTAACGTGGAGGTTTCCATCTGATATTCCTATCCACTCAGTGCTAAGCATAATTCCCTTTAAATTCATGTTAAATCTTTACTTAGGTTCATGTTCATGAGAGAATGCCTTAACACTCAAAATGACATGGTATCATGATAGCTCATAGATTCATTAGGTGAGAATGCCTTTCAGCCTTAGAATCGTTAATATGTGAGTAAACCTTTCACATCATGTTCATAGTGTTTCATGAGAATAGCCTTTCAATCAACACAACAACATTATCATAATCATAGACATTTCATGCATAGTCATGTGTAAGGGTATGGGGAGAATGATCCTGCAACAACACCACAATTACACAATAGTCATAGGATCTTCACTTTCTAAGTGAATCATAAGCTCATACACAATTCTCATCAACATGTACAAACCCTCATAATTTGTCCTACAAGGGTCATGGATCATGATTCATCAATATATATAGAATTACTTCATTGAACACGTATAATAACCTAATCCAAGTAAGCAATCCATCACATTCATAATTCGAACACAATCTACTAACAAAGACCCATATTCATGCTTCAAGATCCAATTTAGGGAAAACCTAGAAATTCATGGATTCTTAGACAATTCCATAGGAAAACATTAGTAATCCATCAAATTGATCATAATATAAGACAATAACCACATTGAAATCATTTTGAAAGTAAATTCGTGCCATAGATTGAAAACCCTAGGTTTTGGAGAATTTCAACTTTGAGAAATAGAGTTTTGAAGGGCTTCATGGAAGGAAACTATCCATTAATCAAGACTACCATACCTTGTTCTAGAATCTCCAAGAAATTTGAGGAGGAAGCCTTGACTTTGCCAAACCCTAGCTTCAAGTCTACTCTTCTTCTTCTTTGGGTTTTAGAGAGAGAAATATTGTGAGGGAGATGAAGTTTTGATTTGATTTGGGTGTTTGTGAAAAATGACTTAGTTTAGGGAATTTTGACTTAAAAACAACTTATATAGTACCCCTACAAATACCCAAAACGACCTCACTTTAATTGGACTTGAAAAGGAAAAGACTTACTTGACCCTCATTTAATGACCTCGTCCAGGCATCACGAGCCTCCTTCACGAGTCGTGGTGAGGACTACGATCCGTGGTCCCCCTCGTGAAGGTTGGGGCAGTAGCCTCTTAATTGGTGCATGAGGCTCACAAGCCCAAGGCTTTCCCACGAGGGGATCCACGAGCCATGGTCAAGACCACGAGCTGTGGTCAAGACCACGAGCCGTGGTCCCTCTCGTGGTCCTTGAGGCAGTAGCCTTGCCATTTGGGCCCCCTAGCGCAAATGCCCAAGGCATCTTCACGAGGGGCTCTACGAGCCATGGTCAGGACCATTGGCCGTGGTCCCTCTCGTGAAGTTGAGATAGTAGCTAGGCCAATTGGTGGCCACCACTACACCATTTTAGGCCTACGACCACACTAAATCTGGACAACGCTTGTAAAGTGTTGCCTAAAATACTTTTGGGGATGCTTTTAAAGCATAGCCCAAGTTTTTAACTTTTAGCTTCAATAATATTAGCAACACTTCTAAAGTGTACTCTTTAATGGTATAAGCTACACTTTATAAGTGTTGTTATAATTGGCAACACCTATTTATATAATGGCCACACTTTTAAAGTGTCCTATTTTTATAATTGTAAAAACAACACATTACAAATGTGGCCTTAGTGTTTTCACTAAAATATTATATTCCCTCCAACATTTTAACATTAAAACTTGTTCTCCCTCCAATTTTTATTGGGCAAAAAAAACATTAAAGGTTATTTTTAGCTAAAGAAAAAATAACTTTAGCTGAAGTTTCCATTTCCCTCAAACTAAAGTGAAGAATGCGATTTTCAACTGAGGAACTAAAGAAATTGGCTTTTCTCTCAAGAAGAACTGAAGAACACGTATGATTTCCCTCACAAATTTTCGTCAAACTTCAGCTGAAGAACCTGATTTTCAGCTAAAAAACTGAAGAACAATACGCTTTCTCTCAAGAAGAACTGAAGAACACCATTTTCATCTCACAGATTCCTTGTTGAAGATTGAAGAGCTAAAGAACACAATTTCCTCACAGATTCCTTGTTGAAGAGCTGTTCCATCAGATTTCTTGTTGAAAATTAAACAAAATACTTCACAGATGAACTTTCCTAGCGTCTTAAAGCTTTAGGGTTGTTGGAATAGAGTTTATTAGGTAAAAAATTCTATCTTTAAACGTCTAAATTCTAGCTTTAGGGTTATGATATTCTTGTGTATCTTTGAAATTCTAAATTTTAACTTAGAGTTTTGTTATTCTTGTGTTGTTGATACGAATTTTGTTGATTTTTAGGACTCTAGCTTGTAGTTGTATTACATATAAATAGGCTGATTATCTTTGATAGTAGTTTTTTTATTCTCTTGAATGTTGAATATACCAGCTGAAGCTAAGTCGTCTTTCTCTAAAAACTAAAGAGTTGAAGCTGGCGATACCTACGATTCTCTTCTCCCTAATACAAATTTCGTGAAGCGTAAGTAGCTACTCTACTAATAATCTAGTGCTAAAAGCAGTTTTCTTGTCAATTGACTGAATTTTTGTTTTGTGTTTAGAAGAGAAGAATAAGAAGGAATTGATTACTTTAGGGTTGTTGGGATGGAACTGATAACAACAAGGTTAAGGGAGATCACAAATAGAGAATTAAATATTAGAATGCGGAAGCACAAAGAAAAGAAACAAAAAAACTAAATAAAGATATGGGAAATTCGAAGGAAAGATCCACGAATTTCCAAAGATTAGATGTTCTAAGGCCTTGAAAAGATCCAAGTAACAACGTATAGATTTATGGAAGAAATCTAACGCCTTTACTTGAGAAAACGAATCAAAACGATAGATTCGGATCTTGACCGCTTTATGAGTAACTAAAGACAATAATTAGTATGTAGAAACTAATCACCTTCTAAAGAATACCAAAAAGAAACCAAAGA